CAGACTTGAAACCGTAGTAAATCTTGATCAAGTTTTTCCAAGGACATCAAGTGCAGAGGTATCAATAAATCTTGATCAAGAATTTTCAAGAAAAAAAATCTTTAAAGAACTTGTGCAGATTTTCTCCTTCTGCAAGACGTGGGAAATTTAGTCCAAACATTACATTAGATAACTGACTATTATACGTGTTTAAGAGTGGGAGATATTACTTGAGTGGGAAGATATTACTGTTCCCATCAAGCGCACTCGTTAAGTCATCAGTATCATGTGATTGCTTGACTTAGCTCTGATAGCATCGATAAGGATATTCAATTCAATTCAGTTCAATTAATAAGAAGTAAAAGAGAAGAAAAAAAACATTTGTGGAAATAAAAGTAATTTTCAGTTTTTTCGGAGCTGATATCCCTCTGATTCAGGCCTGATAAAAATACTTAGCTGATTGAACTTTTCAGACCGAGCTGATCGTCGATTACTGATTTGAATGCAGGTTGTTTTCCGCTAGCCGTCAAAGATAGCCGTCAGAAGCCACTTTCTAGATGAAAAGACGTAGAAAGTAACTCATGACGGCTATCTTTGACGGCTAGCGGAAAACAACCTTGAATGCATCGGATATTAGAGGATCTTTAGTACATTTGCTCTGATAGGTCATCATCCCTGACAAAAACAATTGGTTGACGCAATTTTTCACAATGTCCTATGATAATGAATTATGAATTTTTCTCCTGAAATTTAACTTTTAGGCAGCAGGTAATGATCTTGACTTTGGGAGAGATTTTGCCTATTTTCTCAACTTAGACTCCTGAGGTGTAAGAGTCTGTGCAACTCACTCTCTATAAAAAGTGATTAATAATTCAGAAACATGGCTATAAAGTCTGGTAAATCGGCTCTAAAATGCTTCTGGGATTAGGTGTCGCTCTTTTTTATTATATTAAATCACTTAGACCGTTAAAAACTAACGATAAAATGTTTGTTAAGTGGTAATTTCTGTTAACCAATAAGAAAGAAGAAATACTATCCTTTGTTAGATAGAAAAGCAAAGAAAAGAAACAGAAAACATTATAACAATAATGAAATTTAGGCATTCTTTTAGTTTCGAAGCTCCTACAAACACTTTTAGTTGTTTCAACGGAGCTAAACAGCTAAAAGTATTATGCGGATCATTCTGTTAACCCTTTCCAGCCTGATGGTGCTATTTGGCAACACTTTTTGCTGTGTTTTCGAAACAGCCGGCTGGAAAGGGTTAATAATTCTTCCAAGTGTTTACCGATTTTGCTTTTCTTATGTCGATCGAGAAGAGTTTTTGATTTCCTTTTAGTCAGCATGCAGAAATCATCATCATTCTATCCTTCTAACGTGCGTTTCTAAAAGGAACTTAAGTCAAACCTAAGTGGGTTTCTTAAAAAACCCTAAGTTAGGCAGAGGTCATGCAGTAAAAGCCATGCGTATTTTTATACAACTTAGGTTATTTTACAGCAATTTTTTGAAGAAAATCTCTGGAAAATCATGTTCTGTCTAATTATGATGGGTAGGATGGGCTACAGACTTTCAATAAAGAAGTTACAAAATTTAAATGATTTTCTACTTAAAAGTTTAAGCGAGATCGAGCGGTGACTTAAGTTAAGCAATGTTTGAGAAACATACTTAGCTAAAAAGTTTGACTTAAGACGAATTTTTCACTTAAGTTTTGCTGAAGTTTTTTTAAGAAACTGGTCTCGACTCCCTAACCGAAACTCTGCAGCCAACACAACGATCTTAAAAGATCTGAGAAATCTGAAGTGTGTTTGGGCAGAATCAGTATGTATTTGTAGAGCTTCACGGTTTCCACCGTATGCTGACCATTGTTACGTTGAACAATGTTTTTAGTTTTAGATATTTGACGGTATGTCTTATCCATTTCTTGAAATATTGTTTGATAAAAATAAAGATAAAATTGATTCGAAAGACGATGCATTGATACTGTTTACACACTGGTGCTTAGTATCTCATGGATTTCAACGTCTAAATGGAAACCAAGTATGGATATATTCTTTTATTCATTACGTTTCGAACTATCTGTTTTTTATGTTTTTGTTTAGAAAACAGAATTACTTCCGTCGGATTGGACAAATCGTCCAGATAATTCAATTACAATGGAATACACAAAAAATGATATTGGATATAATTTGAGATTATTCGATGTCGAAGGAGTCTTCTTTGCACATTTATTCGTAAGCTGATAAACAATTTCAACAACTAAGCATGGTTTTTCAAAAGTTCACTCCTGTTCAATGATTTCTTTTACTTTAAGTAAATAAAATGACATATTTTTTTTTCTCATTCTAGCGTAATAAACAAGGTCGTCACGTTGAAGTTAGTTTTAGCGTGAATGATCATGTACATGATAATTTCAAAGAATTTCATTCGTAAGATCACCTTTTTCTGATGCGACTTATTATATACATTAACTCTTGTTTTCTTTAGCGCTTACAAGAATTTAAATGATTTGAAAAAAGAATTTCATGAAAAAATTGATTCGCTAACTAATGGTGGCGGCACGGGTACAACCGACTCAAGTGTCGAGTTAAAAACCACTCAAGCATCTCAACAACAGCAGGGATCATCATCATCATCAAATCAAGGAGGAAGAATTGGAGGACACCAACCTCAACGACAACAACCAGATATTGATCCATTAATTGATCCACTAGCGGCCAGAAGATATGTTCCATTCGGAGGAGCATGGTAAGAGCTGTTAAATTTATTTTCAAACGATAGTACTCCACTATTATTGTCACAATTGTTAAGTTGTATTTGTTTATTATTTAGGCCTGGCGGAATGGGTGGTGGATACGGAAGTTCAGATTTAGATCCATTTGGACGTTCGAATAGAATGGGAGGTATGATTGTTCATATTGTTGCTTATATTCTAATTAACAGTTGTTTCTGCCCTTTTTAGGAATGCACATGGATCCTAGAGTTTTTCAACCTCGGTAAGTATTTCATCAGTTGACGTTTGTTAGTTCAATCAATAGAATGATTATTTCACAACATTCTACAAAATGATCATTTTCTTGATTCATCTATCGTTCTTTCCGGTTTTGTTTGAAATAACAAGTGAAATTTTTTTCTATTTAGACCACCTGGTGCTCGTTACACTCCGCCTGGTCCACTGGCACCAGAGTAAGTCGTATAATAATGATGAAAAGAGTCATATTTAGTAATATTGATCTTCTTGAAGTCCATTTCAAGAACCAAATCCGGATCATTTACGTCCACCTTATCATGGTTTAGATGATATGTACAATTAGACAAAGAAAGCAATGAACAGTGAAGATTAAACACAATCAAAACAGAACATTCATATAGTTTTCTTTTTTTGAGCAAATGTATCTTCTTGAGTATATATTCTAATTACTTTGTTATTATTAATCGAGAATTGTTAATCGAGAATATGCAGGGTTTATGCTACTAAAGTTTTCTTTTTTATTCGATAGAAAAGATGCAGAAATAGATTGATTATTTTTTTTCCGATGTGCGTAAATTGTTTCTTAATAGACGGATTTCTGTTGAAATTTCTTCGAAATGTTTTCAAAAATGCCCAGTTTTGCCGGATTAGATTAAATTGGAAATCATTATGAAAGGTCAGAAACTGTTTAAAACATCTGCGCAATAAAAAAAAATGTGAGAATATAGAGCTCTGAGAGTTCTTTTAGCTAAAACTGAAAATAATATTGTTTGTTCTATACTGAGCAAAAAAAAGTTCCGCTATTACATCAGTAGGTCAAGGTTTTTGTGAATGTTTTTGTTCTAGATAAATTTAAGAAATGTTTTGCGGTAAAATGCGATGAAACAAATTTATAGTCGCTTTCAAAAAGGACTTTATTTGCGTTTCCAAATTTTTATTGGTAGTGAGAATTGACCGCACCAGATGAATAACAGTGGCGTTAGTTACCTAAGACAAAATGTAGAAGATAATGACTATGAAACAAAACATATCAATATAAAATCTGACGTTTCCTTTCTTCAGATAGTTAGCCGTTTCCTGATATGGTGAAAACAAAATAAAAACAAAAATCTGTAAGTGTGTAATAATCGACGTTTATCTCAATAGTGAAGTTACATGGAAATATAGTTTTTCAACCTTACTTGATGTTCCAGATTGAAGATGTGACAGTTTCAATCTTTTTCTCGTACTTTCTAGAACTAGTTTTACCTGCATAACATCCATCATTCAATTTTCTACAAGACAAAAATGTCGTGAGTGTTATATAACGAAATGTAAAAGTAAAAAATGGAATCAAAAGTTCTACAAAGACAGAAATTCTCGCATAAGAGAACCTATTTTTTCAATTTAGAAAAAATCGTCTTGTAGTTTCGCCCTACATATTTCTCTTTTTATTAAAAATGCACTGATGAAACTAAATGTTAGTCGGTTTTACTTGATTTCATGAACTTAATCTTACCATCCTGTAATTTGATTTAAATAGATATTATTATTCACGACGAGAAAGAGCCCAGTTGTTAACGTTTTCTTTTTCATCTATCGAAAGACCAACAAATGCACAAAGCAGTTTTTTTGCGTTTGGAATTTTTTGTAGAATTTTTGATCTCCTTGATCACTTTTGCATTTTATTATATAACATTCATGACATTTTTCTTGTAGAGAATTGAATCAGAAATGTTTTGCAAAAATATCGGCTCATAAAGGCCTAGAGAGTACGAGAAAAATGAGAATACTATGATACCACCACCATTTCTTCTGAACCACTCGTTATACAAAAAATATACTCATTGATGAGAAATGAATGAAAATTGTGACTACGTATAGATTATTCATCACTTTGGTTGTAGAAAAATGATGGATCTGAACATCTAGATTCTTGTTTTGAGTACGTAAACGTATTTTTATGTTACTCTTGTCTTTTAAACTAGAAGAGCGAGAAGAGGTCTTCATCAAAGCAACTTGAGGTTAATTAAATTAAATAATCAAGATTCTGTTGCTTTTCTGTAGATTTTTACCTCGTTTTTTTATGTATCTATTTTTTTTAATTTATTTTCTTTATTTTGTCATTTTATGTCATAAACAACATGCTAGCACAAGCTTTGATTTGTTTAACCTACAATTTATATTCAAGCAGAATTTAAATGATGTAAATAAACTGTCCCAATGTTTTGTTTTTTTCTATATGTAGTTTGTTGCTCAAAATTGTTGTTATTGTCGAAGAGTTCACGATAACACGTTCATAAAAATGTAACTCTATTCATCTAATGCAAACAATAAAAATATTGTTAGAATACTAATAACCAATTACAGTTGTCTTTCTTTCGATGAATGTAGTTAAAAACATAGAATAAACACGGGTATTTGTTAGCTCAGTCTGATATTCTGTTCGATACGAAAACAGGAAATATAATTCGTGGTATTGATCATTTATTTCAAGTAAATGCATGTTTTTTCTTTCCATTTTAGATATTTTAATTAAATTTTGAATACTCTCAATGAAGTTCCTAAAACTGTGACAGTAAAACTGTTTGGTAAATGAACAATTCTTATTAAAAATATCAACGTTCTCTTGAAACAATATACATCAAAATTAATATTTATAACTTAATGATTATTTATTTTAAACGAATGATATTACATAACTTCTGATAATGCATTAGATGAATAATACTGCACAATTGTACAGAGAAGTCACGTATGAATATTAAAAGATAGTTTGAAGCAGACATCTTCTGTGAATAGTATTATATTGATATGCCTAGTGTTTACATGATGACTAATCAACTTTGATTAAGTCTTTTGACAGATGAGTACTGAGTTTTTGGTATGTCGAGTTGTTATCAAATTTTTTTGTGGAATTCTCTCAGATCAAACAAGTTTTAGTTGACGAAATATTTGTTCAACTTTGGTTTAATATGTTTTACTTACGTTTGATAGTATATGTCGGACAATTGAAGTTTAGACAACGCAGTTAATTCTTATCAATCGCTTAGTTTGTCCATAAAAGAATTAAGAGTTGAAACGAATGAATATAGAAAATACATGACATTATTTATATGTGTACGGAATGAAAGAAATCGTTCATTGATAATAAAGTGCGTCTTGCATTATTCTTCGTACTTCAGACAATAACAAAAATGGAACTGTTGGTAATTCAGAGTATCAGTGCATTGTTGATATGTGGCATAATGATGTTTTTTCTAAAACAATTTAACGAAGATGATGATAAAGATTTATATTTTACATCGTAAAGACGTATGTCCCAATAAACAAGATTGCGTCGTGATTCCAGATAGTCATGGAACGCGTTTAATCATCCGCCATTGAGTTAATGAGAATTATCGTCACTACTCATATAGATAAAAAAAAGTAAAAAGCTATTGAACAATTCAACATCACAAAAATTATCGCAATGAAAACTAAAACTTGGACTTTCCAAGTGAAATAGTTTTCGTGATGGTGAGTTTTGATACGTTAAACTTTATTGCTTTGTGACAAGTTAACACATATCACTCAATGAAAGAGTAAAATTCAATTTTGGGAGGTTCATGTGTAACTTCCTCGTTGTTTTGCTTTTCTTTCCTTTTCATTTAATTGGAAAGTTAACCAGTTTACATACAGTTATCACTATTTACGTTTTGACATTAAATTTGTTAAAGATCAAGTACCTTTTAATAAACAAACATCAGATGATTTATTGAAAAGTAGAAACAAACACTTGACTTAAAGTCTCCTTTTGATTTAAAGCAGAAATAAAATACAAAAACAAAAAACGCAATAAAAACTGGTCATATTTGTTGCGCTGCATTGTAAAACAAGCCAAGAAAAAGCATTATTTGTATCTCAAAGTAATAATGAAAAATCTATCGCGTTATGATATAATAATTGTTGTTGTCTTGAATTTTATCAAGCAAAATGCGTATACTATTGTTTTCTAGTTTATCGCTATTCTCTATTTATTCTAGATCACTTTGATTAATTTGTTCAGGTTTGACTGTGCATTTTTCTTGTTTGACGTATAACAATTTAGAAATTATCAAACATGACTGACGGTAAGAGTTTTTTTTTGGTTGGACTATTTTTGATAGTAAACTGATTTTTGTTCATTTAGGTGATGAAGGTAATGAAGAACGACAAATAAATGAAGAATATAAAATATGGAAAAAGAATACACCATTTTTGTATGATTTAATTATGACACATGCTCTGGAATGGCCATCATTAACCGTACAATGGTTACCAAATGTTGTCAAGTAAACACTACATGACATTATCTCTCTATCTCTTGTATAACTTGTCTGCGTCTGTGTTCTAGACCTGATGATAAAGATTACACGGTTCATCGGCTCATTTTGGGTACACATACATCTGATGAACAAAATCATTTAGTTGTGGCTCAGGTGCAAATACCAAAAGAAGGAACAACGTTTGATGCATCCCATTACGAAGTTGAACGCGGAGGTATGAAATTTGAACAAATGGACAAGTTAAAAAGGCTATAAAATTAAACTTATTTCTAGTTTGTATCTGAGAAGTGAGATTTTTAACTCTCTTTATTTTAGATTTTGGTGGGTTTGGTTTATTTAATGCTAAAATAGAAATTGAATTAAAAATTAATCATGATGGTGAAGTGAATCGTGCTCGTTATATGCCACAAAATCCATCGATTATCGCCACAAAATCACCATCATCCGAAGTTCTTATATTCAATCATACAAAGTCGTCACAATTAAAACAACAGCAGCAACAACAAGGTATCCCGGCAACCACCGAATGTATACCAGAATTAAGATTACGTGGTCATACAAAAGAAGGTTACGGTTTAAGCTGGAATCCAAATTTGAGTGGCCATATTCTATCGGCATCGGATGATCACACAATATGTTTGTGGAACATTGAAAAACCGCCAACCGAAGCAAATAAAGTCGATCCATTAGCAATATTTCAAGGACATCAAGCAGTTGTGGAAGTAAGATAAACATGAATGATATTTGTCATAGAAAATATCAGATGTTCATCACTATGCAAGCATGCAGTGAAAATTTTGAATAATAGTAGACTTAGCAGAGTAAATTTTAGTATTAGCAATACCTCTGAGAGTAGGAGAGTATCCAACTTCTCGCTTTATGGATGTTATCTGTTTGGTGTAATCGATGAATTATAATTGTGACTAACTCGTATTGAACAGAATTTTGTTTATTTTATCATTCAAAGGATGTTGCATGGCATCTATTTCATGAAACATTATTTGGATCGGTTGGAGACGATTGTAAATTAATGATGTAAGTATAAGATTCTCGATTGACCTGAAAGTATGAATACGATTAAAATTAACAATGAACCACTTCTTAGATAGTTTATTCTTACATATCACTATCATTTTAGATGGGACACTCGTACATCAAATCATTCTAAAGCCACGCATACGGTAGATGCTCATGTTGCTGAAGTGAATTGTTTATCATTCAATCCATATTCCGAATATATACTTGCTACGGGCAGTGCCGATAAGGTATGGACATTCTAGTCTACACTCTGTATATTAACAATTTTTTCTCATTTTGTTCTAGACTGTTGCACTATGGGATTTACGTAATCTAAAATTGAAATTGCATACCTTCGAATCTCATAAAGATGAAATATTTCAAGTATGTTTTATGATTTAGAAGTAACGAACGATCTTTAAATATAAATAGTTGTATTAAAATAACTATTTTTAGGTTCAATGGTCTCATCATAACGAAACAATATTAGCTTCAAGTGGCACCGATCGTCGATTACATGTTTGGGATTTAAGGTAAATGACGGCTGTTTTGTTTTCGCCTTTAAAAGTTTGAAATTAATCTTGTTTATAGTAAAATTGGTGAAGAACAAAATAATGACGATGCAGATGATGGACCACCCGAACTTTTGGTAAGACAAACTTCTTGCTAATGTTTCATCCTCAAGAAAAGTTGCTTTTTTGATTAAAAAGCGATTTGGAGTGTTTTTTTCATCGATAAATACTTGAAGTTAACTAACTCCTAAATAACTCAACATATCGTGCTTAAATTATAAGAGCCTTCTCACCTGAGTATCTACAAACTCTGAAATTTTGATCCAAGTTACTTACAACGTATAAAAGTGTTTTTTCTGGCAGGCACCCCTAAAATCTATACAATTTACAAAATAATTAAACTTGATACTAAAATTTTCGAGAAACTAATGAATTTTCAATTAGGCTTAACAACATTACTATAAGATGCTTCTTTTGTGAGTTAGATAGAACAATTTTTAATGTATGATAGTAAAATGTATTACCTTAGGAGGAATATTGGACTACGCCTGATTTTCACATTTGAATGCTGATAAACTTTTATTTATATTATATTACTATACATTTCCCAAAAAGTTGCTATTTTTTTGTGTTCTAGTTTATCCATGGTGGTCATACAGCAAAGATATCCGACTTTTCGTGGAATCCAAATGAACCTTGGATTATTTGTTCGGTATCAGAAGATAATATAATGCAAGTTTGGCAAATGGTAAGTGCTATTTTGTTAAATCCGTAATTCACATCGAGATTCACTGTTTCTGTTTTAGGCTGAAAATATTTATACCGAAGATGAAAATGAAACGAATTCGGTTGATTTAGAATAGAAATATTTTATTTTTGTACATGTTATTATTAAAAAGAAACTTGTCTCTTTTTTTATATCGTGAAACGATAATTTTTTTTTCGTACTATGTTGAATGAATATATCTGTATGTATATGCCTCTGTCAAATATGTGAAATACAAATAACAAATTTAAATGAACACACTGTTTAAACTAATGCGCCGAATAGGAATGATATTATTCTATAGACAACATCTTAAGGAAATAGTAAAGTTACAAAATTCAGTCGTTTGTGTACTCCGTATTCTCAGAGATTTATTCAAAAAAATAAAATAAAGCAGTTAGAGTTGTGTTTTGAAGACATTTTGCGTTCAATCTCTTTAATTTCCAGAAGAAATCACTTAAATCTCTTTCATGAGTACGACGATACAACATAATATTTCTTTCGATGGACAAATGGGAAATAAATCTGGTTCATTATATGAACAAAGCAAACGGAATCAAAATTTTCGATAAGGTATCTCCTACCAAGGAAACCAAGCTATTGATCAGAAACGAGTGAAGAAAGCGCTACAGCGATCTTCGATGACATACATCTTTGTTATTTAAGTGTTTTCTAACAGTTTTTAGTCGATTAAAGTCAATGTTTTCGTTATGCAGTTAACAGGCTATTCAAAAGTTATTAAATGTCTGTTTTCGTTGATCTGGATCTGTAAACTAGTCTCACAGCATCACTAAATGATTTGCCAATAGTTAAACTGTTAGTTTATTGTACCTGATGAAGTCCTGCCATCATAATGCATCGCTACTGTACGATTGTTCACTCAAATTTAGTAGAAAGCCGCTTTGCTTAGAATCACAGAACATATGAATAGTTAATTTCAATTTTTAAGCCTTAGCATGCATCAATACCAAAGTAACTTAAAACCCGAAAATTATCAAAAAAACATACCCCTATAATGGATAATAAGATTGCAGATATGTTTATTTCAAAAACACAGATCTTGATTCGAGCTAGCAGACATATTAAATAAGTGTTAAAACATAAAGCCTCATTAGATAAGAGTTATAGGTGGCAAACTACTAACTGTACTGGGTACAGAGTCGTGGAGCAGTAAAAAGAAGCAAGTGTGGTGGAGTTTTTTGAGAGTACGGTATGAACTTTTTGAGAGAATTTGTTTTTCCTTTACTATAATCTTCTGGACAGACTTCGCCCGAAAAAGAATCGGGAGAAAGTCTATTAATTAGGAGAATGCAGCGAAATCAAAAAGCAGATAAGATGTACACCGCAACGATTGTTACGGGACTGCCTGAGTATAGTCCATCGCACATATCGTCAATCTTCCAAAATAATTCAGAGATCATAGCTAAGACTATTTTCTTTTCATTAGCAAACAGTGTAATAGTCAAGTTGTTAAGGTAAACATGTTTATATCTAATCAATATCCTTATTTTGATATAAAACCGTCTCTTCATTGCGAACATTTCCATTGGCATCGTACGTACTGCTTTTTCGGCGTCCAGTTTGTGGTGGTGGTAAATCAAAGATACTACTTCGTCGACGTTGAGTGGAATTCATGCTCGTGGAGGCTGATGATGAATTTCTCTTCGCTCTTGAACACAACTCAATAGTTTCACTAACACATCGTTCAATATCTATTTCACCTTCTTGATATTTGAGAATCAATTGTTTTATATTATTCCGTAGTTGTAGAGGATCTTTAGCATCATAAGTGTCACTGTCTTCGCGATTGAAACTTGTTTCTGCTTCAGAAACAGCCATTATGTAAAAATCACGAAACTTTCAAATAAAACTAGAAACTAAATCTTTCCTAGACGTTTATATACCTGCGACGATAATACGTAACTCATCATAAAAGGAAGACAATTTTAAGTCTGAACTTTATCCGATGATTAACAACAAATGTCACAGGTACATGATATTGATATTTAGAGGTGAAGCACATATTGCGACATTGCTTAATTTTTAATTGGAGGTATATTATGTTATATTCAGCTGTAGACATCAAACACACTGCGTTCATTTTCTTTCCTTTGATTTTATTCTTCTCCGTCCTATATTTTTTTCGTATGTGCTTGTATATATGTGCACAGCGCTTTATTTCTTTTTATAGAAAAGAACAAACTTTCTATTTTAATCTATATATTCAATTATTCAATGTCCAAAAGAAGCAGTGCTCATCCGATATTCTGCCAACTTCTCAAACTAAAATTAAATTAACTAGAGAGGATCCATCTCCAATTGTTATATTAGTCTGAAGTACACAAGTTGTACTATATACTGATGTATTTTGTAGAAAAAGACCTTGTTTAGTTTTTGAGGTATGTAGCTCTCAATATTAGTGGTTAATGTTGAACAAATCATACTTTCTCTCCTTATATTCAGCAGTTAAAAAAACTCTTTCTGACCACCATGACTTTCCGGCTTTCTCTACGAGTCATTACGGACTGAGGTAGTGTGTGTTCAAACGTGTAAAAACTATAATGAAGTAAAAAATTTTCTTCCAAAAGATAGGTTCATCTTGTTCAAACTTTCTTATAACAGAGGAATTAGTAGAAAATAATGTCATAAAAAGAATATCTGCGTAATTCATTTTGTACCCAAAGTTCATTTGAATATTTTCTACGTATACGATTCGGGCTCTGAAGTTAAACAACTAGAAAAATGTCTTACTTTTATAGTGAGTCATTTATTATCGTCGCAGCTACATGAACGTCTAGGAAAGATTTAGTTTCTAATTTTATCTGGAAGTTTCACATCTTCAATTTACGTGATTTTCATATAATGGCTGTTTCTGAAGCAGAAACAAGGTTCAATCACGAAGACAGCGACACTTATAATGCTAAATATCCTCTACAATTACGGAATAATATAAAAGAATTGATTCTCAAATATCAAGACGGTACAATGGATGTTAAACAGTGTATGGAACTATTGAGTTTCCTAGATAAAATCTTATGTACGTCCTATCTATTTCCTACTCGGATCCTGTAGGATCCTAACATTCAGGATCCTATCATGATTCATTTAGAATCATCATAGTTTTTTAATAATCACATTTTCTTGTTAACATTCGAATAGGATCCTAAAAGAATCATAGCAAATTCTACGACTTCCGGGTATTATTGATTTTAAAAGGATTCTATAGGATTTTGTTAGCATCTTGAGAAGCCGAAGCGAAATCCTATTAGGCTCTTGGTAGGGGTATGTCTAAAATCTTGTCAGGAAATTCATAGGTTTCTCACTGGGGTTATGATCAAGAACTAAGAGAAGTTTATCGTCATTTTCCACTAGCGTGAGTTTCACTCAACGTCAACGAAGTAGTATCTTTGATCTACCATCACAAGCTGGACGCCGATAAAACGATGCCAATGGAAATGTTCGCGATGAAGAGACGGTTTTATATCAAAATAAGGATATTGATTAGATATAAACATGTTTACGTTAACAACTTGACTATTACTCTGTTTGCTAATGAAAAGAAAATAGTCTTAGCTATAATCTCTGATTAGAAGGCTCAGAATGTGTGTGATGGACTATACTTAGTACAGTTAGTAGTGTGGCGCTTGAACACAACAAGTACTTTAATTTCAATCTTTCGGAAATCAAATATCGCTATTTCTTTCGAATTTCTACGACTATTATGGTCCTATTTAGAAATTTTATATTTCTGTTCTCCCTCGGTCTGTTTTGCTCGATTATATTTTCAGTTTTTACTTGCATAGAAATAATCCATCACCTTTTTTTATAAGAATCACAATATTCTTAGCACAAATGCTTCTGTATCTTTGTTTTGTACAAAAAACAAATAAAAAAATTACAAGATGAAGAATAAAATGTAAAATAAGTTTTATGCAAAAATAAACTTTGTATTAAAGATCCAATGATATTCATCCAGGAAAAGATGATAAGAAAATAAATAATTTGCAATTTAAGCTACAGCTGCAGCTGGTACATTCATCTTTCGTTCAATATCGGCACAATATTTTTCTGGTACACCAGCACGACTATAAAACAGACAAAAATATTGGATAACAACAAATATTTTGTTTCAGCAAAAAATCAATAATAATCAGAATATAAAATAAGGAGAACACATAGAGAACTCTGCATAATGCTTAACTTAGCGCTCGACTACAATGTGAACATCATAAACGAGTAAGTTAAGTGACTCATTTCGAGAGGCTTTATTAGATACTGTTAAATATCTAAACAATGTAAATATTTTTCACCTACCGTAAGTCATTTAACTTTTGTCTTTTGATTTCATCTAATTTCAATCGTCTCATTCTTGCTTCATCATCTAATCTTGCACCTTCATCAAAGAATGCAGTACGATCCTCGACTTTTTGCTTTTCATGAGTGATAATCTGATCGCGTAATTCATCAGCATAACGATTACGTTTTGATAAACGATTTACTTCAACATTGTGTTCTTTTTCAGCCAATTCCAATTGAGCTCTAGAACGATGAAATGTATTTATATCAATTACAGTACTAATTAAGCGAAGAAGAAGTGTGCGAAAAGGCTAAGTTCACATCGCTATATTATCTTACCTTAACACTCGTTCAAATTCTGCTCGTTCTCGGGCTGCTTCAATAGCTAAATGTTGTTCTTTATTTTTCACTTGCCATTCTCTCGCCATTCTCATTTCATCTTCATTCATTTTTTTCTTTAATGTTTCCATTTTTTCACGTTCACGCCATTCACGTTCACGTCTCTCTTGTTCACGTTTAGCTCTCAAAGCGTCCTAAAATATATTAAAGAATTTTATTTACTCACCTTATTATTTAAGATTTTTAACTAGAAAACATACCTTTTCTGCTTGTAAATCTCTTGCTCGTTCTTGTCGTGCTCTTAATCTTGCCACTTCTCGCTCTTTTTCCACCCGTTTTCTTTCCACTTCTGCTTCTTGAGCTGCTTCTCTTGCCGCTTTCGCTTTTTGAAATTCCAATACAGCTAAATCAGCGATACGATCTTGTTCTTTGCGTAAAACACGATTTTCTTCAATTTCACGATTAGCCGCTAATAAATCGGTCTAAAATACGATATCAATATACACAAAGTCCCATATTTTTCTAGTGTACTTTTCTCAATAAATTTAGTCAACACATCACTTTTGGATATGGCTAAGAAGAGTAAACATTGTGATATTGCTAGAATCTTACTGCCAATTTTTTTTGTCCTTCTTTTCTCTTTGAAAATTCTTCCCAATCCTTTTCTTGTAATTTTTGCATGTATTCGAGCATGGCCTGATTTTCTTGTTCACGAATTTCTTCCTTGTACATTTTTTCTTTATCATTCTCTTCAATTTGTTTCAATATTAAACTGGCACCTCTGTAATAAACACACAAAAAATCTCGAATTAAATTAGATTATTACAGAAGAAAAGACATACTCTTTCGCCTGTAAATGTCGACGTTTTTCAATTTCTTCTTGTATTTTTAATGAATTCAATCGTTCAATTTCCATCATCATATCTAAACGTTTATCTTCATCTTTCATCTCCCTTTTAACTTGCTGTTTTTCAAGTATTTGTGCATCACGAATTGCATGACACTTAGCATTTAAAATTAACTAGATAGAAAAAAATTTGAAAATTATATTTTACTTCGATTAATTAATATTTTGAAGAATGTGCTTTTTTGTTCACGCATAGCTATTAGCAGTTTTTAGTGTTACATACCTCATTTAAATGTTTGATTTCATCTTCTTGTTCTTGTCTTAATTCGTTCGCTCGTTTGAGCATATACTCGGCTTCCTCTTTCGCTTCTTGATCCACATCTTCTAATTGGGTATTTTTCTTACGTCTCAAATCATATTCTTGCATTGCTTTTTTACGACGTTCTAATTCTTCCTAGAATATAATATTATATAGACTTTACAAACGTATTTTCATAATTTTCTACATTATTCTTACTTCAACACATTCTCGATTTTGTTTTGATTGTTGAACTTCCTGTTCTCGAACTACTTTTGGTTGAACTTTAGCTGCATTTGATAAACGTTGATATGTGGCCGTGTCAATAATCACAGATGTACATGTGGGATCTTCGGGAACACTATGAAGAGAAAACACAGACTTTATTTAGATATCGTCTTTTATGAATAAATGCTCACATAATATCTCTGATAAGATCTTTTGTTATATGTCGAACATATTCTTTTTTGTATGGGCCAATATTTTTTGTTGGGCGAGTAGAAGGTTCAGGTTGATTTGATAGAAAATCATGATCTTGTTCTGAAAATAAATAGGAGAAGAAGTGGAGCAAAGTATTAACATCTAAAACTATCATCATCAACATTCAGTAACTCAAATAGAATTTTTAGACTTTTGGACCGTTTTTCATAGAGTTAAAATGGTTACATTCAGCGTTTTTTGCTTGAACATGGAATCGTTTTGACTAATACCGGTTCTAACATAGACGATCTCTCTGTTCCTCTTTTACGTGACTCAGAATTGTGTTTATATTTTCACAAGTCTTTTGTACAGACAAATCTGATTACTCAATTAATTGGTTAATTTTTACACAGCGCAATTGAGCCTGCTAGCGTTCTTTGCCTTAAAAGAACCCTGCAATGTCATGAATAAAATCCATAGCATTAAATTAACAAAAAATACTGCAATATATCAATGTTTTTTTCGAAAAACGCAACTAATTGCCAAACAATCGAAAGCAATAAACGAGAAAGGGTCAGTAATTTTGTGAAACTGAAACTTTGATCTTTTTTTTGCGCACGTATGCAAACGAGAAAGAAAAAAAGAATAACCGGATGCTATTTTAGTCTGATTCGTACTTCGCTTTTCAGTCATGTGTTTTTCAGAACAAACATTGTTAGGAATTCGTGAAAAAGTTTTAGGCAGCGTTTTATCTAGGTTTCGTTTTTCAACTGGGCAGTTGAAATTCTCGGCGGAGCTATTGACTAAAACAATTTTTGCTAAAACGAAATTAGCTATTTATTTTCGGAGAGGCGGCGCTAACCCGGCCCACCCACTAGATAAATCACTGGCTCTAGACCAAACATTCAAAAGAACTTTTGGCCATGATTCCACTTCCGTAGTTGCACTATTGTTAGGGATAGAAAATACGTACGCAGATTATTCTGTTGTTTTTCTGCTCTCATTCGTGCAGCCGTTGTCAGTCGATGTGGTGTGCCAAATAATGTTTCATCGACCGTCGATTGACAATTTACTGTACGGTAACGATAATTAGTTTTCTTTGCCCCATTTGAACCAGCCGACGGCGGAGTTGTGGCACTCATAGGCTACAGGATAGAAATAGAAATGTTATACTATTCCTCATTGAAAAAATTTCCAATAACTTCTGCCTAACGTTCGATCCTACTGAATTTTAGATAATAATGGAGAAAAGAATTAAAAGGTTCAATTTATTAGGATATTCTTCGTGAGAACGTGCCCGTCATGCTTCACCGTACGCTATCAAACTTCATACGGTTGTACATTAGCAATGAAGAAAAGATTAGGGTAGTTTGTTCAATCTGAACCAAATTGTTTGATGCTATGCGTGCCTACATACCATTATTCTATGTTGTTAATACGACAGCTTGACTATATAGCATAACAGAACCCTAAGTTACTTAATTCTTATTCTTTTAAATTTCTTTTTTTTTGCCATTCGTCATCTTCTATATCCTAGCAACGACCTCTAAGGATATAACTCTGAGTTTAACGAACTGTATAAAGTCAAAACATATTAATATAACAGATTGCCAATTTTTCTATTATAACAGACTATAGTGACTTATAAGTATAAATATGATGGACATTAAATTTTGCCAGAAGACTTGACCAATATCATTATGTCACACATGTGCATCATTATCATATACGTCAGTAATAATAATAACCATCGCATTCAAGATAAGTTATCGCGGATTATTTGTCGTACGATGAAAACAATCATCAACTTACAGTACAGAGAATTTATATCTTTAGCGATTCATTTTGAATATTTTCAATTAAATAGTATAACAAAACATCCGCAATGGTTTTTAATAACTCTTTTTTAATTATGATTGTAACTATTTCACTGTATCGGTAGATTATCTTCCGTAGTATTCCTCGTTGAATTGAACAGAGATTTGTTTTGCAGACAAAATAATGAAATTGACTAATTACAGAATGGAAAAGTTTTTTCTTTTTTCGAACAATTGGGTATTCGACATGTCTACTACAGTCGATATCTATTCCAGTGGTTGTACTATCTATAAGCTTTTTTTTAATTGACTCATTTGAACTTAGGGAAATAAAAACAAATTTTCTTTTTCTTGATAAAACTGACTTTTTTTTCAGAAATAAATGTGTACAATCCACTATCGGAGCCACACGTTTTACGGGACTAATATTAATTTTTCTGCACATAATGATGATGTAACGGAAGCTTATCTTGTACTGCTCTGTATATTTTTTATTGCCAGGTGAGATTTTACTCCAGATGACTCATTATATGAGGCATTGTATTGCATTTTACTCTCGCCCACGTTCTCACGTCACAGCACTCGAATAGTAAAACATTCATTTTCTAGAAGTGGAAGTAGAGTTTGAGCGACTTCTTCGCACGATTTTAGTAGTAAATATTTCACCTTGTGTAAGAGAATACAAAATAAACAATTAACAAATAAACAGCTGTTTACGTCATATGAATGCATGAAGACCTCAGAAATAAAAGGGAGAAAGAGAGAAGAAATATAATTTTTAGTCATAATTAGTGCTCGATCCATTAGAGTTTACGTCCAGTAATTGGAAGTCATTTTGCTTTTGGGAAGGTTAACACCTGATGCCTTAGTAATGTTGTTAAATTGTATATCTTCATTTTAGATACTCTTTTCGTTTATTCTGTACAGTTTTATTTATTTATACATATTTTTCGTGTCAGATTATTTTTCACAGAATGCCACTAGGTGTATTTCAACGTTTATTTGATTTTGGCTCTAAAAAAGACGAGAAAATATCATCACAAGACGCCATACAACGTTTACAAGATGTCGAAGATTTATTGAATAAAAAAGTTCAATTTCTAGGTAGGATTGTTTGATCGAAATAGTTAAATGAGGGAATAAATAAAACTGTTTCACTAGATTAAGTTAATGTATTTTAATAAGAGTACGGCATTAACAGTTTCACTTTGCTCTTTTTTTCTTTTATATGTTTTTTTCCTCAATATTGTTCTTTCACGAGACTAATAATTTATTATGCGCTATTTAGAAACAAAAGTTGATGAAGAAAAACAGACGGCAATTAAATGTTCAAAAGCATCGAATAAACGTGGAGCATTAAATGCTTTAAAACGAAAAAAACGTTATGAAAAAGCGTTGCTACAATTGGATGGTACATTGACAACACTTGAGACCCAACGTGAGCATTTACAAAATGCATCAACGAATATGGACGTATTGAAAGTAATGAAAAATGCTGCTGGAGCATTGAAAAAAACAAATCAAAATTTAGATGTTGATACAGTACACGATTTAATGGACGATTTAGCTGAACAAAATGAAACAGGTAATACATAAACAAAAAAAGAATGGATGATGATTCCACCTACCACTACCAGTTTACCCTTATTTACAATAATTGTAAATACGAGTGCAATTGTTAACAAACGCGCTATGTTATTTATGTGTGTATGAAGCATTTGTTTCCTCAGAGTTTGGAGCACTCGGCTATATCGATTGCATTCATAAAAAATCTCTACTACTCGCTTTTTACTCATGGGATTGGGCTTTAATTGTATGTCTATCACTGTGTATTTTTATGATATTAGAAGAACTCGATCTATTTTTTATCCCTATTATTAAAAAGTTTGAGATTTGTGTGACGCTTGAACTATGAGTCTCATGATCTCAGCTTCTGGAGCACCTAGGGAAGATCTGTAAACGGATTCTTAATCAGACTGATCCGCCATTGAATCATTTCTTTGTCAAATCTTCGTTAGGTCAACAGGAGGGGGGGGGCACAAGATAAGAAAGAATATTTACTATAACAGAGAAGCGATAGCCGTCGTAGCGCGCGGGTAGTGTACTAGTATAGATTATAATTCTGTTTTATCTGATTACTTTGTTTTATTTCTCACTTTAGCACAAGAAATTGCTACAGCCATATCGTCACCTTACATGACAGGTTCTGAATATATTGATGATGCTGAACTAGAACGTGAGTTAAATGCACTGGCTGCAGATGAAGATCGAAAAGATATGGAAAGAATGGGCCCACTACCAGATGTGCCGAATATAAAATTACCTACCAGAGAAACGACTAAAGTAAATCAAAAAGAATTAGATGAATTAGCAGCATTAGAACAATGGGCAACATAACATAATTAATAAAAACTTAAATCTAATAGAGATGCAGACAATCAATCAAACAAATCCTTTCATAAACTTTTGCTGTTATTTTTCTTGCCACTAGTTGTTTGTTTTCTTTCTTGGTCAAATATGTTGCACCTTTGTCAGTATTAATGTCGTATGTGAGTGTGTATTGTACTACAGTACATCGTATTTCCTTGCTTGTTATTTAACGCTCTTCGTCGAAATCTATTTTGTGCAAGATGAAACCACGAACAATAATTCTTTATTGTCTTTCTACTTCATTCATAACGTAAATTACACATTCTTATCTCATTCTGTTAGTTCCCTTTTGCTTCTTTTTTTGTTATTTTATTGCATAATAAACAATCTAAACCTTGATGAACTTGTTCTAATGAAACTATTTTTTTTTATGTTAAACGACAGAAGAGAAATTATTATTATATACCGAATTTTCTTTTTGGCGAATTTTGAATTCACGACTCTCAGCCAAACATCAGATTGAATGAGAGCTTTTTGATGTGAATAAGACTTTTATACAATATTCTGTAGTTATCATAGTCCCAAGATTTTAGAATTTACTTATGGAGAGCAAAAGTATTTTCTTTTTCTCTTCATAGAATTAAGTTTTTACGACTCAAGATCGCTTAAAGACTAAAATCTTTATCCTATTTTGAAAAACTTTTCAGAAGATAGTTTAATTAAGTAAGTTCTCGATATTGAACCTCATGTTTAGCTACTTTATTTCTATCTATAGTTTCATTGTGAATTTTTATTCTTACATTTATCACTTAGAACTAATAATAGCCTATTTTCTGATATGGATGGTGATAGGGTTACGAAAATAGGTGTATACTCTAGACAGAGATCGGCTCTTTCGATCCTATTAGCAGCATAGGCGTGAGGAAAAAATATTTACTGTAGTATGCCTAGTTTCATTTTCTCATTTTCGTTTCTTAATAGATATATGCAAATGTTATTTGTTTTTTTCTTTTTTTTCTTTTTGTCATTAAAGTAAATATTTAGATGATTGAAACGCATTTTTTAAAACAAAACAGATGTTGTGTGCTTGAGTGTATTTTTTAGCATAGACTTTGAAAGTTAGTTGATATCATCAATGATCATGCGTCACACTCATTTATAATACAAATATACAAATGTTTGCTTAGTATCATTAGAATTAGGGAAGTTTGAGAGAAGTATATCTTAGTTGAACAAGTAATATGATGATTTTTCTTTGTTGAACTTAATTTTTTCATCTTAGCAGGAAAGAGATGAATTCTAATCGTATTACATATTCTCAGAATTGAATTAGTTTTATGACTCTAAATGTTATATCTAAACATTGCTGTTTTATTTTAATCCTTTTAGATAAGCTTCATTTCACTTGTTTAAAATTGTTAATATTTATTTCACAACAAATGGGTGATTCAAAAGGTGGAAAAAGTTTTGTATCGCGAATGTTTGGTGGTACAAAAAGTGGTGGTCAACAGAAAAAGGCGAATACACCACAAGAAGCTATACAACAACTGCGTGATGTTGAAGATGTATTGACAAAAAAGGTGGAGTTTTTAGAAGGAAAAATAAATGAGGAAACAGAGAAAGCAAGACGGGATGCACGGACAAATAAACGAAATGCATTAATGGCATTGAAACGAAAAAAACGTTTAGAAAAACAGTTGCAGCAAATTGATGGTACATTAACAACATTAGAATATCAAAGAGAAGCGTTGCAGGTACGATACAATAGAAAACTAGATCCTATTTCCATATTTGCATGAAAAATAAAAATTTTCGTTAGAAAAAGTATTTAAAATTCTTCTTTCTACTTCATAATTTCAAAAATGATCTGTTCGATAATTTTGAATATGGTATTGTTGTTTTAGAATGCATCAATGAATGGTCAAGCATTTAACGCTTTACAAACTGCAACAAATGCGTTGAAAAATGTTCATAAAGAATTAAATATAGAAAGTGTACAAGATATTATGGACGATTTAGCTGAACAACATGAATTATCGACAGAAATTGCCAGTGCCATATCGAATCCAATCGGTAAGTGATAAAATATTTTGAACATAAACTAATTAAAGGATAAGAAACAATATACTCTCTGATTACAATAGACAGTATATATAAAAGAGATATTATTTCTAGGATTTGGTACAGAATATGATGATCGTGAATTAGAAGATGAATTAGCTGCTTTAGAACAAGAATCATTGGCTAAAGAAATGCAACAAATTGGTCCAATCGAACTACCATCTGTTCCCACACATCTTCCCATACCTGCTAATAGTTATAAACAACCGGCATCAAAAGCTAAAAATAATTCCGACTTAGAAGAGTTAGAAAAATGGGCATCATAACTTTTTTCATTGAAAGACAGTACTCCGGTGTATATGTGTGTGTGTATGTGTGTGTGTACTTCTCATCGTTTCTCCCTTCTAAAACTACTTGTACCTTAAGGTGCTCTCTTCTCTTTACTTAATGTGTATGTGTGCAAAACAGTATGATAAATAAATATTGGCACACCTATATATATTTTGTTTTTTACATTCGGGTTATTTGTTTATACGCTCAAAAAGTTCCTTTTTGTTGTCTGTATTTGATGGTTATTATGTGTTGTTGTTCGTTTCGTTCTTTGTTTCTAAATTTGAAGAAAAACGACATTCCAATCGTATTTGTCTTTAGGACGCACTATCCGAGTGGCTTGTATAGCCTTTTTTGTTGTATCGATTCTAGTCTTCCTCTGTAAAGAGAATTCAATGGACTTATTTTCAGAGAGACGTCAACATGTCGATAGATTAATCTCGTTTGAAAAAAAATTAGAATTTCATCTAAATCAGTGCAAAGAGTGCATGTCTACGAATAATCTAGTTATTCTTCAAAATATGTGTTACATTAAGGATGATGGATAAGAAAGAGTTCAAATTTTTTTATTAACTAGATATATGTGTATGAAGGATTATTAAGACATCTGATATATCTAATAAAATTTTAAAAATTACTTCTCTTTCTGATTCACTCAAATACACACAGTTGGAATGATCGTTCAAATTTTCTTGTTTCTCTCCATTGTATATTGCAGAGATGCACAAAAACTAATTTAAACTTGCTTTTTTGGTATTTTTTTTTTTTTGTATTTACGAAATCAACTTTTTCTTCGTGTTTAATTGATTATTTGTGATTTTTTAAAAGAAAACTTTTTTTGTCTCGTTTTTTTTCCCAATGTGTGTATCGCTGTGTGAACATATATATTATATATGGATAAGCCTCATCTTTAATCTTCTTTTTTTGTCTTGATAAGTATTCAAACAACAAGATTTTTCCTTTCGTTTTTTTTTGTACGATTATTATCATATACACGTGTCTATAGTCCGTTTTAAAAATAAAAAATTATATAAAAATTTAACTTTACTTTTATTTTATTAATAAATTGATGAAATGAATTAGTTAATCTACAATTTTTCAAGTGACAAATGACAAAAAACGTTTCTACATTTATTTTCTATATTATTAGTTCCATGTAGATGAGAGTAAATGAGAAATGTTGTCAACAAAAACAAATAAGATGATGTTAGTACTACGATCTCTGTTTTCATCATTTATTTTATCTATGAAATTAAAATTATTTTAAAACATATACATCAAATAGTTTATCGAAAATTTAAAATTATTTTTTTATCTAAAAATAACGATTGCTTTTAGAAGAGAGAACTTTTATAGTGTTGAGCACGAATTGTTAGTGCCTAGAGATATTGATAGTTTTACTGATATTCTTGGACTTTCTAAGCTTTCAGGACATGTGAACTCAATATTCTTGAGCTCATTTTACGAAAAAACTCAAGTGCCTGAATTGAGTCAAAGATAAGTCGGACTTAAGTGAAATTTAAGTTTTTTCGTGAAATAAGTTTCTGCTTTTGTGGTTTCTAATTCGTCCTTATTTATTCTGTAAAAACTCTTTAAAAGTTGAAGAAAAACTTTTATTTCGTAGAATAATTAAAATATTATTCGGAAAGTAGCAAAAACAATTTTGCACTTTACGCAATCAATACGAGCACATAGCGCTGAACAGGTAATTCAACCATGTACATTTCTTCCGTTTTCTAGTGAGAGATCACTAGTCTAACTACTATACACTGTTATTAACCAAAGAATAAACCAATGAATGTATTATCTTTATCATCATCATCATCATCGTCATCAAGAGGTTTCTACTATATAATGTAAAAGAAAATATTGACTTTCGTCGTATCTTTTATTGATTTATTTAATATATTATGTAATTAAATCGTCTGAAATCAAATGTGAAATATTTCAGAGAACAGTTTTACTTTTAAGACTTTCTCATGATGGTTCTGATATGAACAATATATTTTTAGATAATGAATATTAGGTAATATGAAATAAATCAGCAAAGTTTAATTATGATTGACTTTAGGTTGCTAGTACAAACGGAAATCTGATAAAAAGTTGATGTAAACAAAGTTCAACAGAGACAACATTCAAATATATATTGTGTTCGAGTTATGATTTAAATTGTGGTAACAAGAGTTAGAAAGCAATTGAACTGTTTATGAATATTTTCAAAAACAATCAGATTCTAAAATAATTTACCATTAGTTGTATAATAAAGATAAGAAAAGAATATATATCCCGGTCTCTTCGCCCTCAATATAGTCAACTTAACCAAAGTGCAAAGGGGTCGCTAAGCTATGAGGATCAGTTCTGACAACAGAAGCTTCATGGACATTGAGTGTTGCGCGCGACCCATGGCTATAGTCGTGAAACATGTGAAGAGATTGAAGATTCTGTATAAAATAACCAACGGCTATCCGACTCTTGTTACCACAATTTAAATCATAACTCGAACACAATATATATTTGCATGTTGTCTCTGTTGAACTTTGTTTACATCAACTTTTTATCAGATTTCCGTTTGCACTAGCAACCTAAAGTCAATCATAATTAAACTTTGCTGATTTATTTCATATTGCCTAATATTCGTTATCTAAAATATATTGTTCTTATCTAAAGGTTATAATAATACAAAATGATCTAAAGAGTACCAAAAAACCAATTATTCATGATACTGGTATAGTCCATTGATTGAAAGTCCCGCACATTGAGTGAACAGTTATATTTTCTTTTCTTGCATGGATTTAGTCAGATATACAGGTGAAAAATGTATTCTTTTGTTTAATATTATCGTAAAAAAATATAGTTTTTTTTCTGATATTGTTTTATTTATTTGCATGCATATGTGTATTTTCTCTACTTTTTGTTTATTAAACTACCTTAGTTTTCAATTGAAAGATATGAATAATTGTCCTGTTTGAGGAATTCAGAGATGGGCAAGTCACAAGTTTTCCATGAATCATTATGATGATTGTATTTCAAATCAACCAAAAACTTTTCAAATACTTTTTTATTTGAAATTAGCGGTTCCATTCTAACTTCACTTTAGCGTTACGATTGTAAGAGGAGGAGGAGGAAGAGAATAAACAACTAATAGACAAACATACAAAAAAGAAGACAAGAAGAAGAGAAACCGTCAGAAAATTTTTTCTCCCAAGTCAAGTCACGTCAAGTCATCCCTTGAAATTCTTTGTACCAAATCAAGTCACTCGAAATTTTTTCCTCCAAGTTAACCCAAGTCTGGTTAAAATTAGGCAGAACATAAAATTTGCTAGCACCTTTTTGGGTCAGAGAGTTTTTATAGCCTTACAAATTCTTTTTCATGGTAGAAAAGGTCTAATTTAAACGAGAATCTCTTACTAGGAATGACTTGACTTGAAAAAAATTTCTCAAGTCAAGTCAAGTCATACCCTCAGAAAATTTTGGACCAAGTCAAGTCAAGTCTGACTTGATTTGGACTTGAGGCATTTTTGACTTGACTTGCTCAACTCTGAACCATAAGTCTCAGTCGTACAAAAAAACCTAATCAGTCTGACTGAGATTTGGCCATCTCTGAAGCAGAGGTGCAACCGGTATCGGTATGAATTATAACGGCGACCGGTATACCGGCTTTAGTATGAAGTATAATCAAGCGGTCGACATTGTTGGTATTTTACCGTATGATACGATTTGGCGAAAAATATCGTGTAAATTCAGTTCATCTATGACATATTTCTATAAACAAGGAAAAAGTGTTTGTATTTAGGCAAAACACGATCAAGACAAGCCGGTACCGGTATCACATTTTTGATACCGGTTACACCCCTGCTCTGAAGGAATTACTGTGTTTTGTTGGTTATTTGCGTCTACCTCGTTATTTTACACGTTATTCAGCCACCATTTAGATGCAAACTTGAACTTTATATAGAAAAACGTCTCGATGGGTATGTTGTCGAATCTTTATCTGAAATACACTTGTCATAGTCATTTTCAGGCTAAAAGTTGAATTTCTCTTTTTTCTCCTGAATTCTGTGTAGCAAAAACACTTAAAATCGGAGAGAATCCTTTTTTGAGAAAGTGACAAACGAATATTCTCGATCACAGCTATACAAATTCTCCATGTTATCTCAAAGGATTACTAAAAGTGTTTAGGAAAATTTTTCAGATTTCTCTGTTTTAGAGTACCTGTAAGTTTTATGAGAGGCACCATGTTTTTGGATATTGTTCACTTGATGATATTACAAAAAGAATATTAATAATAAGATGAGTGCATTGAATAATTGAGAATAAAATCGAAAATAAACTCAATTGAGAGGACGAAACAAGATAATAAATTTTTCACATTATGTATTTCGCGCTTTCAAATTAACTGTTTTACGTCCTTTTATTTTGTGTAAGTAATTATTGTTTATTTATTAATATGACAAAAATATTTGAGTGGCATCATCCTTATTGTCTATTTTGTTGTGTATGTATGTAGCGTCTATTTTCTGTTTTGTTAACAAATAATGAATTGGAGCCGAATATTTGGAAAATCTAAAAATGATAATGGCGGCGGTAGTCAAAAACGAGCGAGTAATGGTCGTCGACAACAGAGTGAAACAGCACAAGAAATAATAAAATTTCATAATCAAGAAGATCTTTTAAATAAAAAAATTGATCATCTTCAAGAACAAGTTGATTCACATCGTGAAAAAGCAAAAGAATGTACGCGTATACACAATAGAATTCGAGCTCTTACACATATGAGAAAAGCAAAAGTGCTCGAATCACAAATTGAAAAATTTCAAGGCATGTTAGCTAATTTAGAAATAACACGAGGGGGTCTAGAACAAATGGATATAACTAAAAGTGTTTTTGACCAAATGGCTTCAGGAAAAAGCAAATTAGCTGGTATGTTGTTTTTCATGACAACACAGTTTTTGAATTCTTATGAATACGAGGACCAGTGTATTTTAGAATTCATGATTAATTATTATTTTCATTGTTTCTGTGCACCAAAAAAAGACGTTCCTTATTTTACTATAATAAAAAGAAAATTTAAAGACGTGTTGTTGTGCTTTGACCTAACTGAAGTTGTTTTTTTCTCGCGTCAGCTATAAATAAACGATTGGATATTTCAAAAGTAGAAGGTGAGATGGATGGTATATCAGAGTTAATACTATCACAAAAAGATGTTACTGATATAATGGCTAATCCAATAATAATATCCGGTGTGTCGGATATGGAGTTAAATGATGAATTGAATAAATTGGATAAGGAGATAGAAAAAGAAAGTTTTTCTAAAATATCAGATCTACCAAATATACCTCAACAATATGAACGAGAACATTCAACAGCAATAGAAACTGGAATGGGTGCACAAAACCGAATGAACAATAAAGGATTATATGAACTAGAGAACTTTGCAGCAGGATTGTAGTAATATTATGCTCTATTTTTAGCAAGAACAATGTACTAAAGATAGCATAGACGACACTTCTATAAAGACAGTCGAAAAGGTAAATTTTCAGGTTGTACAGGCATACCATCGACAGGAAAATAAAGTTCATTTAGAGCCATGGAAAAGTGCTTTTTCGTATTCAGCACACTCAATAACCCAGAACGTTTTTATTTTTGGCGAAGGATAAAAGATTTTCGAACAAAATGCCGAAAAATAATTTCAATAGGAAAAGAATACTAGTTTCAAAAATTTCTTACATTTTTGGCTGTACTCCTCACCAAAAACAGAAAATCTTCTGGGTTATTGATTGTACTGAATATGAGAAAGCACTTTTCCGTAGTTCTAAATGAACTTGATTTTTTTCTCCATGTTGATATGTTGTTGTACGAATTATCGAGTTTAATGCAAACACAACTTTTTCTCCATAGTTGCAAGAAATGAAAATCGTCTGACTGAAGAATAAAAGACAATATTCTTTTTTTCGGATCAGATGACAATGACGGACATATCTATTTTTATTATTTTGAAAACGTAATTCAGACAGCAACTTCTTCAATAAATATGAATTACGGCTCGATTACTTTCATAATTAAATGTATGAAGTTAAAAAGTTGACATTCTGTTGATAATAATGATATCGTTCTTAATTCACTCGTTTAAAGTACTAATGCCTTTTCAGAACTAATTTATCTTATTGGATATTAGTCTCTCGCGTTTTTAACTTTTATTTGTGTATATTATAATTTTTTGACGTATTCACAATATAAAAAGATTTTGTGGTGATTATGAGCGGTATGTTTTATGAAATATCATTATCAAAAACATAATCCATTTCATGACTAAGAAACATCATAAAATTTTGCAACAGCACTGTTCGCCATTTTTTCTATACAAAAGTTAGTTTTTATTCAATCGTTTATTTCATACAGAATCAGACCTGTAGTATAGTTGTCATGAATTCTTTTACCCATCCAGAACTAAAGTATTGTATATCCTTTTTTTAGCTCGATCTCCGTCTGAAAAACTTTAGTCCTTTAGTCCTTTTTTCAGATTTTCGAATATTGGCATCTTTGGCTGGATCTTTTCCAATTACTAATAAGGCTCGTCGAAACTTTTATTATTGTTGTTGTATATACTGTCAAATTTAAACGAAACCACATTTAGTCAGAAAAACTAAACATTTGACACAATCATGCAATAAGCTAAGAGTTTAGGTTTATTTTCTTGGAGTTTTCAACATCTTTATTTACGTTTTCCTTCTCTTAAACCTCAATATAACAAATCAACTCCAATACGTAAATCATTAATATGCGTTGCACTTAGATCTGTGCGCCGGTCGGAAAATCGGCGGCGGTGAAGCCTCATTAAAAGATTTTCCGCCTTCGGTGGTGGCGACTAAAAGATTATTTAAAACTTTGGATCGTCAGCGGAGGGGCGCAATCAGATTTGAATACGAAACTTAGCTTAAGCTTAGGTCCATTGTCATTTCATCAAATTTTTTATTTTACTTTTAATCAAAGTAATGAGGCTTAAACAAGTTTGGGCGGCGAGAACCTCCAAAAAAAAAAATCCTGTACCAAACATTTATATTCTTGATCATCAATTAAATATAATATAGCGATTTTTAAAATACATGAACGAAAATACAATAGTTGATCAGTCGTTGATAAAATGTTCGTTTATTAACGACGAGGGCAGGTGACGTCAGTTTCCTATTAACAGAAGAAACCAGGAGAAGTGATAACTGAGTAGAGTCAAGAGGAATGGGAGGAAAACGATGACGTTATTCATGAACTCGTGAGTGAAACTATTCGCAAATCACTCAGTCATGCTGTGTAGCTAGTAGTGTACAGGGAGGCTGGCTAAAACATACACAGACAGCAGCGACTCATCAAGGAAATTTTGCATAGGGAAGGATTGCTGTAGCCTAAGTACTTTTCATTTTTGCTTCAATTTCAAACGTCCAGGAAAACTTAAGTGCCACTTGGCATCTGATGTATTCAAATAAAGATAAGTTCTTTGTAATGTAAATGTGGTTTTATCTACAAATGCTCGTTCGCGTATAATACTCTTTGACTCATTTTCCAGATATAATCTTAGTACGTCCTTTTCTTCGGACAAACATACCCAGGTCATTGCTTACGATGGCCATATACGGCGAATTGCAACCGTATACTATAACGTAACACGCCGTAAATCGCCGTAGCTTAATGTAATTTGGCCGTAGTAGACTCGTATACACTCGTTTGCGGCGACAGTATTATGGAGCATAGTATTACGGCGTCGTAAATCGATTTTACGGCCGCATTGGATCACATGAGTGATTATGAGAATCTATTTAGACTCTGGTTAATCTAATATAGAAAACCAAAAGTGTGATTTGAAATAACTCTTTTGATAAGGATTGTGCTTACATCTTCATTTTGATTATCTTATTATACCGTTATCCTGGAGATGACTTTGATTCCTGTTCAAAACCGTAATAGCACTGACTGAAATGGATATCAGACTATGTTTGTCAAAACAGAGTACCAGAACGGGTAACTAGATTTTACTGAAATCAGCCCATTAGAAGATATTTTGCAATTTGTATTAAAATTTGCCTATTTGATATTTGCCTTGTATTAAAAAGAAATGCTTTTCGTCTCTTCAGTGACAGCCCAAAATGTGTGAACTGATTGTTCTTTTAAAATATGTGTTTGAAAACAGTTTGTTTCGTTAACAGGTCGAAAAATTAGTAATAAATAAAAAATACCACCGAAAACCTGGTGAAAATCCCTGAAATCCCAATTTTTAAAAAAAAACATATATATTTTCTCATATAAAGTTTCGTCTTTATAAAAAGTTGTTTATAGAATAACAATTTCTTATTGTTTCAAGCTTTAATCAGATGACAGTGAAAAAAAGACAAAAATCTGATTTTCAGGTCCGTACCGGAATTTTTTGACATGTTAACGTAAATGAACTGTTATCAAACACGTATTCTAAAAGAATAATCAGTTCTACACATTTTGGACTGTCACTGAAGAGACGAGAAGCATCTTTTTTTTTAATACAAGGTAAGAATTGCAAAATATCTTCTAATGGGCTCGTTTCAGTAAAATCCATTTTTCTTCATGACGGCAGCACTTTTACTCAAAATCATGGTGATATTCGGGATTAGCATAAAATTCTGCATCTAGTACATGTGTTTCGAAAAAAATTGGAGAAAAAAATGTTTAGCTTTTCCTGAGGGTTACCAAGGACACGAAAAAGTTAAAAGTTGAAATTACGGAAAACTGCTAATGCCATTTTGTTTTCCATGTCAGAATATCTATAATCTGGTGGTTTTAATTGAAAAATAATTCGGGCAGAAAAACGGCCTGACCTGTCTTACTCCTTTATCCTTTTATTATAATCTACTTACGGGAAAGCGTGTGCCAAGAAAGAATTCGAATTTGTCTTTTGAAACGGCCGTTTCCTTGATAGTTGCAACTATCAGGGAAAGTTAACACAGATTGTGTAGTTCAATACATGTTAAACGAAAGAAGGGATCATGAAGTCTGAAAGTTTTGTTCTATACCTTTTTAAATTTAAGTATTAGATTTACCTATTTCATCTTCATTCTTAGATCCAAACTTTTCATCTCTTTGTCTATTATCATTAGCAATAGTCAGTTATAGTTGTGTTGGATTTCGAAGATTATCAAGAACTGATTCTTCGACCTAAACACATCAGAAACATGATTTTTTATTAAAGAAACAATAGTTTAATTACTTGAAACGAATCCCGATCTTGATCTTCACTATTTCAGGATCCACTATTGTTTGACTTGCTTTTTTTTATTAAATTTATTCCAAAATATTTGTTGTTCGTATGATATTAAAGAAATAATAAATTGTATAATAAATTTTTGAAATTTTTCATATGTAACATCAATCCCTTCGTTATAAGTGTCATTTGAATAGAAGTTTTTATTATCCTTCGTTTTGCTCTTCTCAGCGGATCTTGACAAAGATGGAACTAGATTATTTCGCCGTGGCATACTCGTACGTAGTTTCAATATAGCTAGATCAGTATGAAACGGTTCCACTTCCATATATTCGTTTAGATTATCTTCTCTTAAACCTCGATATAGAAAATCAGCTCGAACACATAGATCATTAATACACGTTGCATTGAAGAGAAAAGCCGATGCTGGATCACAATCTGTCATATATATTGAACTGAAGCCAATTAACGTAATTTTTTTCCTTTGTCAACATGAGTTATTTCCATCGGATCAAATAAATGGCCACATGTGAGGACATAATCTTTATCGATTAAACATCCTGTACCAAACATTTTATATTCTTGATGGATAATTCTAGTGGATAATTCATTTAATAAAAGCTAAAATAGTCCTTCATTTTATTCCAACGCGTCGATCGGTTCGTGAAATGGCTCATAGGGTAACAAAAGAGAAATGTCTTTGTTAGTTGCATTATCCTTTAACTATTTTCACTAATGGATATAAAATTACAAGGTAATGTTCGTTTGCGCTCGCTCGGTCTCTTGACTTTAGGAGCTTATATTTGTGAACAACCTTCCATGACTTTGAATCGACGACAACGTTCACACCTTCCTTCGGTCGGTGTTCGCCAGTACGCCAGTAGTATGAATATCCCTCTGACTTCATGTGTAAGCTTCATAATCTAATATAACGCTAAAAAGTTTTCTGGACACCCTCTGAAGATCCGAAGGGAGGCTGCAAGTGTTTCTGATCGATTCGCCATGATAGACGATCTATATTCTGTAAGTTTTATTATCCGTAGGTGACGTTTTTTGTGTTATCAAAATGGACTGATTCCTGGCGATTCAGTTATTTCTTTGAATATTTTGTCTCGTGTGTAAAAAGTAATTTTCTATTTTTCTCTCTTATAATTGGCCTATCCATAGAATATCCGACAGCCATTTTTCCGTATTTTGCGAGCACACACACACAGACAACCATTTTGTAAGACCCTAGACTAAAATCAAGGGAATAAAATAAGGTAACGTTCGTCTGCACTCGCTTGGTCTCTTGACATTACGAACTTATATCTGGAACGATCCTATTGATATATGCCTTTTCAATCCAAGATAACAACCTACTTTGAACAACCTACCTATATGTTAGGTTGAGCGTAATATAATCTCCAAAGCTCTGCTTTAAAGTTGTCTTGAGTCAATGCTGTAAAACGGCAAAGTAAAATGTTTAGCCAGATTAAACGAAAAACTTTCTCAGTTTATCTCAACCTGATTCAATCAAAAGCTTTTTCGGTTTGACCATGACTTACTCACTCTTAAACATTTTTCCACCTAGCCTAATTTTTTTGCAGATATTTACAAAATTTGGTACCTTTAAGGAATGTACGAGGATATCACTGGCAAGTTGTTGTCAATAACACTAAAAAATATGACATATTTTGTTACTGCTTATTTTCACAGTCATATGTACCAGACGGACATGTTCATTCGACCATACCTATAAAATATCAATTGATATGTGGACTGTCAACTTGTTTAGAACAAGTTTTTCTGCGATATAGAAAAAATTTCTTTGGTGAAATTCATTGGATGAAAGCTATTGGTTTAAACAAGAATCAAAATGGGATTTCATTTCCTACTTTCTTTTTTTTCCAGCTCTGTTACAGGTGCAATGATTCACAAAACCAGCATCCTCTATAGTACCATACAGTGAGTCTCTCTGTACTTGTAGCAGAGTTGAAAAAAATGAAAGTAGAAAATGAAATCCCATTGTCAAATAAATTTCCGTCCCGAGCCATGTCTGTCAGATCCGACGAAAAGCTCGTCTCGTGTGTATCTCGCTTATGGGAAGATTATCTTTGATAGAATGCTGGAGCATCATCGCATGACAACATATGATAGTGCAGAGTTGCTAATGGTTAATGAGTCATGCAAAAGTAGAATGGATTTACGTTATCTCATTAGAAATGCTGCAATAGTGATTTTTCTTTTGCATATCAATATCGGCACTTCAAAGAGCGTTGGTTAAATTTCAAAAACGTTCCATGAACGCTAGTTTCTCAAGCATCAGGTTAAACTCTCCAACACCAGTATCAACGATTATTATTGGATATTAATTATATTTGTTTACTTAATCTAATGAAGATAATGAAAGTTTCACATTATTCCTATTTACAGATTACTAATTATATTTTAATATGACAGTGGACGAAAATCAATTGTTATCGGTTGATATTCATCTTTCAAAACTAGTGGGTGAGTAGTACAAGACATAATTTTCTTCTTTAAAAACTTCATTTTTGTTTTTTTAGACTGGCTTATTGATCGTCGACATTGTCCAAAAGATTGGTCTGAACGTGCATTAGCCATTCGATCAAAAATACAACGTTCAATTCAAGATATGCCTGAGAATGATGAAATTAAACGTCTGTTAGAATCATCATGTACGCACAACTAAATTCAGTTACCTATGTACATGTGTTATTATTTTGTTATTTGTTATCTACAGGTCTCGATTATTTTTGTTGTGTAAAAATTATGGAAATTTTAAAAGAAACTGAAAAAGATTCACGAAACATGTTTGGAATGTATTCATCACAACGAATGAAAGTAGGAACAAAATCTTTTGATATTTCTAGTTTTAAATGAGACATCTTTTTTTCGTACTATAGGACTGGAAAACAATTGTATCTACTTATGAGAAAAATTCTGTGTATCTCGGTAAAATGAGTATAAAAAGAAATTGCTTTCTATCTCTTAATTATTCTATCTTTTTAGCTGAATGTTCTCAAATTCTTCAACGAAATGTGGCTTATGAAATTCCAGCATTAAAAAAACAAATAACAAAAGTACAACAGACACGTGATGAATGTCATTTAAGACATGTTGAACTTGAAAAAAATATTCACGAAATTGAAAAACAATATATACAATTATGTACAGAAATGTCGATCAAAGTATGTAGAAACCTATCATTCTTAATGAACTTTATAGACGAAAAGTATTTATTTCTTGTTCATTTATCAGGGTGAAAGTGTCGAAGCAGAACTGAATGAACGTATTGAATATTTACCAATATTATGTAATGAGTTAGTTACAGAAAAATTGAATTTATTAAAACAAGTTTTAAACTTTTATGAAGAATTTGTTGTATATTTTCATCAAAGGTAATCAGACTTTAGTTTAAAAGTTTGTCTGCGTAAGATATTTGTGCTTCGTCTCGACTGATTGATAGTTCACAGCGAATGCTAGACGTAACCCATTCTATTCGCATTGAAAATTATCTATTCTCTTATTTTATTTTAGAAAGGATAGTGATTTATTATCCATATTAAAATATCTCGTGTATAATGGAAATTTAACAGTTTATGAATGGCGTACCGGTCATGCTCCAACAACTATTGAACGTCCAATTCAAAATTATAAAACTATAAACGCTAAAAATGAAAATGAAGATGAGACGAATCAAATTATTGGTCTTGATGATGATAATAATTTAACAATAGAAAGTATTGAAATAGAACAAGAAAAAAGTCCTATTAAAATTGTCGAAGATAGCATTGATCTTGATACAGTATGCAAATAAGACTTCGATCAATGAAATATCGATTCTTCTTCTGTTTATTTTCTAGGATAACGGTATTGACTGGTCGGCAATCGATACTGTGCCTGAATTATTGGATCCATCTGTCGATCGAAATATTCCCACAACACAATCAATTACAGATGCGATTAATGAGGCTGTCATCATTGAACAACAAAATGAACGAGGTACTTTGTACTTGTGCATGTCTCGTCAACTTCGTCTGTCTTATTAATTTTTATTCAAACTACTTGTGAAACAGATGGTGGCATAGCTCGTGGCAATGATGCATTAACATTACTAGAAAATCGTTCTACTTATATATTATTTATGAATAATTTAAACAGAGTATGTATAGCTATACGTATATTAGAAAAGATATATCATTCTCTTTTTTATTTTAGTTGCAATCGTTTTTAAGACAATGTTTATCTGAATGCAATATAAATGGAACAATTTTGATGACATTTATCATGCAAAATGCACCATTTTCAATACAAAATAAGACAGAAAATGGTTGGTAATGTCTAAAATTCATGTGTTAACATCAACCATTAATTTTGCTTGTTTTTAGATCTAAAAACCTATTTATTAGCTATCGATTCGATTTATTCTCAAATTTTGACAAAACAATTTGAACGTTTATTTTTAATGCGTGATTCATCAAAATATCGTGAACGTCTGTTACAAAAATTTCAACAAAAAACAACGACTATTGAACGAAATCGTTACTTACAACGAGAATACGATGAAAAAACACAAAGATGCAACAAAGATGAAATAGAATTAAAACAAAAATTAAATTTATTAATTCATTATACAAAACACTTGAAAGAACAGGTACATTACAGAGTAATTGATAGGGTAGGGAAAGAAAAGTGATTACTTTTCTCATCCTTTCCATTGAAAACGGTAGTCTATGTACTAAAAGAGAATAGTTTCAATTAGGTTTCTAGTGTTGTAGATAGGCAGTTATCAAATTTATTGACTTTTCAGTTCTGGAATCCAGTAAAGCAACATTTCCAAACTCGAGTTTTGTTAACCTCTATTTTATAGATTGTATCTAGTATGCCGTAACAAAGGACAAAATTTGAGAGACTATTCGTTAGAATTGGACGAGTCTGAGTCACGTTCAGTGTGCACATCTTTTGAGTCCAACATACCGTGAAATATTTTGTTCAATGTTAGAAGTTAGATGAAAGTTCAATGTGGAGTCCAGCTGGTCTTGACTGCCGTTCGAACGGGTTTTAGACTTGAGCAGTCTTGCTGTACTTGCAGAATATTTCCTTTTAGTTAAGTGATGGAGAGTTTGAATTGATTTTGGGATTAAAGGTCGCACCATCTTTTATACTTTCCTAGTGATAACTCAATATCTACAAAATCAGAATGAAATTTATAAGTCAGACTCTGTTAACCTCTAGACACATGTTTTTACTTCAATTTAAAAGGAACCCTAGTTCTCAACAATGTATCCTCATGATAATAAATTAACAACTCATAGAATTAATTTTTTCATTTGTATCCTCTGGAATAATTTCTCCAAGTACAGAATACCGTAAAGGTATTCTGTAAAGGTGGAAGGACGGGGGCTTATAAGGGTCTAAATTTTCACTTGATATTTCTGAACAAGAGTTACATATTCAGAATCAGTGTGAAATTCTGCGTCGAATGGGTATATGGCACCTTGGAAAAACCATTTTCAATTTTTCGGAAAATTTGAAGCCCCTATTCCACCTTTGGAACATCGAAAAACGTTTTTACTCAGAATTTTTCTAAAGATACTTTATTCGATGCAGAGTTTGATGCTGATCGTGAATATCAGGTCAAAACTGGAAAATAGTTAAGTTTTGATTGAAAACAATCGATTTTACTGACAGATGGCGTCAGCGACCTGGTTCATTAAAAGCAGGGTTTTGTCCCTTGGATTTGGTATAGAAACTTCCAAAGGTTTTCTAGAAAACCTTAGTTGGAAAAACCAGATTTTCCCAAAATGGCTAAACATTAGAAAACACATTTTATCATCGTTTGATAGAGCATTGAAAACTACATACATCTATGTTATTCCGGTAATGTTACCTCTTATCCTATTGGCGGAAAAGTCAAATGACGAGGCTGAATAACAGGTTTTTCGCGAATTTTCGACCTGAAGTGGCTTTTCTGACCTGAAAACACTAGTTTGAAGTGGATTTCTGTTCCCTACAGGAAAGCTGGGACATTTTTGAGTATATCTAGGGGGTTTTGGAGGTTTTCATACCAAATCCAAGGGACAAAACCCTGCTTTTAATGAACCAGGTCGCTGACGCCATCTGTCAGTAAAATCGATTGTTTTCAATCAAAACTTAACTATTTT